CGTACAGAGGCTGCACTGGTCCTTCTTTGGTTTAAGGAATGCTAAATTAAATTCGGCATTTATAATCTCTCTATACTGTCTCAAACTACCCACTTCTTTAACACTTTTCTCTTGCATGTATTTTAAGTATAGTCGGTGCATTATTGCAATGTTAAGGCCGTCTTATAAGTACATTTTTGTCGATTTCTTTCTGGTGTAGTGGGAAGGCATCACTGGAAAAAGTTTCATTTGCTGTCATTTAAGGTACCTTAATCAATTTAGTTTGGTATTGTGTAGTGCTTTCCTCTTCTATATTTTTCAAGTGAGCCTTTTTTCCAATTTTACTCAGAGCAGTTGTCACCCACTGATATCCCATTAGTATTAAGGAACATAGCCTTGCAGACCCTTATTTCATTATTATTAACAGTAAGCAGATATTTCCTGGAGAAATTCCGTTTTTATTCGCGATTGCTTCTTCTCACTTGCTTTTTGTCTACTGTCTTAACATATCTTGCTATGGAATCTCATTGTCTAGTATGGTCACCTATTCTCCAAAATTCCTCAAACAATACCTTTCTATCTTCCTCACTTATGTTCTCACGACATTTATTTCTGCAGTTTTCTTTACAGGGATCTTTTAGCTGTTTGGCGGGAATAAGTTTACCTTTGCGGTTTTTGTGTTCGACTCCTAAGTTTAATTCTTTCTTAGCTCGGACTTCGACCCACTCACTTGTATTTTTCACACGCTTTCTACCTCCCTTTTCTTTGGGCGCCATCTTACGCTTTCTACGACCCTGAGCTTGCTGAAGTTGGGTTTTGGCTTTATCAGAAAGATATAGGTGGCAACTTAGATGAGTCAGAATCAGATGTTTCTCCAGGCATATAATCAGGATCAATGTCTGAATAATCTCAAGTGAATAAATACTATGTTTGAAGCTTCTTGTTGCGTTAAAAGAATTCATCACCCGCGTTAGTAAAAAAAATACAAAATATGAACTAAACTTACCTAAATTTAATGGCTCGGCAGCTACACTTAGCTTCCTTGCATTTTCCAGAATCATTCTTGTTCGTGAATTCATCTTTTTCACTCTAAAATGACTTCTTTTCTTGTAGCTACTACTTAAAACGTTTGCATCATTATCCACCATAACCTCAAATTATGCCGCGAAAACAATAGTAAGTCAAACATGTTATACCTTCCACGACTTTTTGCACCGAATACTAAAATAACTCAATTTGATAGAGTTTTCGCCGGCGGCAATGTCGGTTATTAGACTTGCTATATAACGTAAAAGATTAACAGTTGCCTATACATTTATGACTGAGATACCATATTCTTTCACCAAAGAGAGCCTGATTATACCTATCGATACAATATAGTAAGTCAAAACCAAGGATTTTTGAGTTACTATAGTCTTCGTTGCATGGGTCGACATGTAGCTTAGAAGCTCAGTCAGTAGATGAACCCTATTACCACTTATCCATATAGGATTTCATTCTTTTTGGACGTATCTCAGAAAGTATTCGGGATTTTTTTTTATATTCCATTCACAGTTTAGTACCTAATATCTAAATTGCTAATTCGTTCTTTTAGGGGAAACCATCGCATCACGCTCTGTATCAAACACGTCTCATTTTAAGGTTTGGGTACACCAGCCGTGAGCCACGCAGATCGTGATATTTTTTTTTCAAATGTGTGATGAAACGCGCTAAGGATGGAATCAATCTGAACTTAGACATTTGTAGCAAACTCATGGTGCTCATTTCTTAGTTTAGCGTCTGCCAAATTGTGTCTCCTTAAATATGCTCACTCTTAACCTGTTGGCTAACATATCAATATAACCTTAACTAAAGAGAGCATAACTAACAATCAGAAGCTCCGTCATAGTCGGCTTCAAGGAATAGATTGAATTGTGAACGTGTGAACGACAAAGGTTACGAAAGAGAGGTCTAATCTGTGAGAACATAGCTTAATGGTTATAGAGTCACATATATAGCCGTTTTAGTAGCGTGGATCTGTAAATACCTTTCTTTTTATCTTTCAAAAGTTTGCAAATACAAATCCTCCTTGTCAGTTGATCGCAAAAATGTAATGAATTGAAGAACTGCCTTTGGACGTAAATTCCACTGATTGTTTTTTTTTCTGATAGGAGTAAGCTAATAACGTATGCATTAATTAATCAAATGCAATTTAATTATAGCCGTTCAATGAAGCGGGGTTCATTATTCTAAAATGTACAGTCACCTGTGGCAACAAAATCCCCCTTTCATGGAGTTAGTCAAACTCGTTTCGTACGCAATAATTAACGTTTTCAAAGCAAAATTTCATTATTCTCTCTTGGTCGGCTGTGAGCAGCTTGATATTTTTTAGGCGATGGCGCTGTGATCAAAAGATTTGAAAAAATAACAGATAGTCCGGTCTGTCAGGGTCATATTAGACTCCAGAGAAATTTTAAATAAGCAGGATCTTGTTGATAGTAATCGAATAGACGTTTCAAAAGTTTTATTTCCGATTTACATTGTCCATACAATGTTTGAGTGATCTCATCTTCGTTGCCTGCGAATTGTAAACAATAATCGGATATATATCATGCTGCTTCATGCTGTTTAAAGTAGATTGACTTGGCAATAATAAATCTGCTTAAACTTTTACGTACACGAAAATTTGAAGCGTCAGCAATAAGTAAAATATGACAAATACGATTCAAGTGCTTCAACCCGCTAAAAATGTGTTAAATAATCACGCGGTTGAAAACATTAATAAAAACAGTTCAAGGTTTTTTCAAAAATAGTGTCTTAAATGTATTTTTATTTAAGCTTAAAAATAGTCGGAAACTAAAAGAACATTGAAATGTTATAAAATATTAAGCTTTACTATCATAACTCTTATTCCTTCGTAGCCTGTTCATTTTGTTTAAAGGTAGCATCAAAATTAGAGCGTCACTTTTTAAGTTATGAACCAGTTCCAACAAGACGACGAAGAATATTAGAAAAGGTTCGACTATCTGGCAAAGCACGATCGGGATATCTCTGGTGATAAATCCGTCTGGCTTGCTCAGCATTCCCGTCGGCAAGGCCATATACGTAATGCATTTCGGCCATTTCTGCATTTGAATAACAAGATTGTAAAAACTAAATAATGAAAAAGATGTCACAGCGAACAGATTTGAATAACAGAGACTTGTCAGATGTCAAAAGCCAGTAACATGTTCCAGAGCAACTAGATATTTATTGCTAAATTGCAATCTTCAATTATAACATTAATTTTCTCGGAGAATAGAACGGTTCTTATTTTTTTACTCAAAATGGCGCATCGAAGGAACACAACTCAAGAAAGATCATTTGCGTACCATTTATTTCTTAAAAAATATCGAAGTCAATACCCGTACGCACGCCGCTGTTAAAGCTAAAAATTATTTTTGCATTGAATAATATGCCGCTTTATTAACTTTCACCACGTACTAAATATCAGTGAAATATCTGAAGCGGTTGTGAAAATATTAATTAATTTCCATTTTTTTCCTTAAACTTCAACACCCCGAGTTTTTGTAAGGACACATTTTTGGACCATTGTTTATAAAGCAAACTTACATTAATTTTTCATGTAGATGCACACCCTTAAATGTTCGCATATCATTAAGGAACACCCTGTATAATTTTCGCTCAAGTATGTTGCTGTCTATAGTGTCGAATGCTTTAGATAGATCAAAAAGTAGATGCTACATATTCACCTTCGTCAAGTCTGCTATAAACATATTCAAGCAAATGTCAGCTTGCAGTTTCGATGGATTTCGCAGCTCTAAATCTATGTTGGCCATACATTCAGGATATGAGATTCTTCAGCAAAATCGTATAATCGGTGATACATGGATTTTTCTAGTAGTCTAAATATATTGCTCAATAATGAAATTTGACGATAGTTCTCAAGGTTATCGTGTTCACCTTTTTTAAATGTAGATCTAATCACTGCAAGTTTGAAGATTTTAGGAAAACAACCACTCTCAACAAATTTATTGAATAAAAATGCCAAAGTATCACCAATACAGTTAAGAATTTCATTTAAGAGATGTAAAGTAATATTATCAAAGCCAGTAGACATTTTGTTTCTAATTTTGTTTAAACAGTTTTGTAGCTCGTTTGGTTCAATAAAAATAGAATGGCGTCTGTAAGATGAAATGGTAAAAGTAGAGTCAAGCTTACTAATAGTAAACTTCCATTCACTTTACTCATGTTGAAAATCACGCGTCATACAAATTTTGAATGTCTTGGCAAGCGCCTTTCAGCTTTATTCAAACGTGATGTACAAACAAAATAATGAAAACAAATCAGATGACTTTTTAAAAATATAGGCCAAGTATTTTGGACTGTTCATTATATCAGCAAAAGTTAAAGCATTCCATCGTAGGATCACTATTTAGGACCATCCCGGACTAAAAATATTAGCTGAAAAAATGTCTTTTTACAATAGTATGATTTGTTAAGCAGGTGTTGAATAATTCTGAGTTCAAGTCTCCTCTAGCCTGAAAGTCCTTCTCTATTCGTTTGAAGAACGCACATTGTGTATCAGAATGCCCTAATAGCTGCTAGTAGTAAAGAAAACTAGTCACACATGGAGCAACTCAAAAACGATATATCCAATTAAGTTATGTGAGGGACTGTGATTATTACTTGTAAGGGAAGATACAGTTTCATGTCGGAATAAATATACCTGAACTTGGAGCGACTTGATCTTCTCCATTCCACTGCTCATTTTGTTTTGTATATTCTCTTTGCTTGAAGAACTGGTGGTGCAATCGTACATCACGTCCTAGTATATCAAGAATCATAACAATCTTACAAAATACGTCTTTTCTGGCTTCAACTCCTATTTAGGTCTCGGGTTGAATACATCTAAGAAGTCTACAGACGAAGATAGTGGTACTGCATTTTATTAATGACAACCTTGCTTTCCTGCAACTGTGGAGATCTTTTTATCTGTATACATTTTTATTTTTTAATTTAACTAATTGCAGCAATTTTCTAGGGACGAGGCGATGAGAAAAGTTCAAAGGAAATTACGACTTGGAGAGTTTGAGAGCGCAATAGCACTGTTGCGTGCCGCTAGGTGAGGTTTCAACTTTTTATTTTCTCTACGAATTTATCTTATTCCGACAGGTAAAAACTCGATAGACTCGTATTTGCTCATTATAGTAATTACTAACATTACTATTGCCAGATCAGATTTTTGCACAGGGGCGTTCCCAAAAGATGGGTGTTATTTTCAGAATATTTTGCCGTTTCACCGTTTTTAAAAAGTATTTCGCTTCGGAGATCGAAGGCGAACAAAATAAACAAATAACGGTTGCCGTTAGGTAAAATACAAGACTGCACTCTTCTTCTCATATGCCACCCAGGATTAAATACACCAGGGCTGTTTCCTATCAGCCCTATCAGTGATAACAAGGCTTCGACGATTGAAAGAAAAAATGCGTTTTATCCACATACTCACGCAGGTTTTTAGGCCCTACACCAAGCTATAAATTCTCATGCACTAAATCCGTATGGCTAGATGATAATAGCATGCCACCTGCTGACCCTTCAACTTACAACTACAACAGCAAAAAAGGAGCTTTTCGAAATTAAATGTGATTGAGTTATCTTATGACTTCTATGAGACAACTGTGACTATCAGTTTTTGTACGGTCTTCAGTGGCAGAGCATATCTCGGAATTCTAAAATCGTCTTCAGCTATGGATGACTATTTGTTTGTTTAAGATTTATTTAGCATGATTGCTACAATTAGATTCTTCTAAAAAACTAAACAATTACATAACATAACACATTTAGAAAAACATTAAATTTGCATCTCTAAGAATTTTCATTGTCCATGAAATATTCCTTTAATTTTCTTTTAAATATCTTTTAATTACATGTAGACTTTATATCATTATTTAGTTTATTAAATTCAAGTAATCCTTTCTAAAATATTGATTTGCCAGTTATATTACTATTGCAATTTTGTAAATGAAAATCTATATTTCCTCTTGTATAATAATTGTGGTAATGATTATACAATTCTATGTAGTGTTATAAATGTTCTGGCAAAAGATGATTTGTTATTTTAAATATAAAAATAAGAACCAAATACGATATGAAATTTTTTATATTCAAGCACTGCAATTCTTGTAATATAGATTTTATTTTGGTGCACTTATTTATATTCAATATTATTCTCATAGCTTTATTTTGCTAGACTAGAATGATTGTATTATAAACTATTTTCTTGGAATAGGTACGAAGACTATGAGAAGCCCTATAAAAGTAATTTGTTTTTTGGCAATTTTTGAAATAATGTATTCATAGTGATCCTCAAACTTTAGTTTACTATCAATATATATACCTAAATATTTAATTGATTCAACATTTTCAAGTATTTCTCCATTTATCCTAACTGGGATAGTATTTTCATTCAGATATTTCCCTATTAGCATACATTTTGTTTTAGAAGTATTCAATTTTAGTTTATTTACATTTAACCAATTTACGATTTTTGTCAGAATTTAGCATTTTTAAAGCAGTGTCATTGTCATCTGATATGTATATTAATGTATCATCTGCAAATATCTGAAGTTTACAATAATCTAAAACATTACAAATGTCATTAATGTATAAAATAAATAGTAGTAGACCTAGTTTACTACCTTGTGGTATACCAACAGAACAATTTTTTGATCTTGATAATATAGATCCAATTTTGTTCTTTTGACATCTGTCAATTAAATAGTTTTGTAGAATTTTGAATACTGATCCTTTAAATCCGTAGTGATGCAATTTTGTAAGTAATTTATCCCTGTCAATAGTCTCAAACGCCCTTTTAAAGTCCAAAAACACTGTTACTGTATGTTTCCTATTGTCCGTACATCTCCCCCAGTCCTCTAAAACTGTTTCAGTTGAGTGTTTCTTCCTGAATCCAGCTTGAAATTTGATTAAAATGTTAGTTCCCTAAATAAATTCGATGATCTTTTCGTAAATAATTTCATCAAAAACTTTTTCATTATCTGGCATAACATTTATTGGCCGCATATTGGAGTACAACTCAGAATTTTTAACTTTAGAAACAGAAGTTATGGTAGAACACTTCAGCTTTGTTGGAAATTCGCCGTATTGTAAACAGTAATTTATCAGGGATAATATTCTTGCTCCAATAATATCAAAACATTCATTAAGCACACTTTTAGACAAAATCTCACTAATATTTTGATTTAATTTAATTTTTGATATAGTCTTATTGAGACTATTAATGTTTATTGTTCTAAACTCACTGAATGATGCATTATAATCTGAGCTAATGGAACATTGGTTGGTAATTGATTTTAAAATGTCGTTGACTCTTTTTATGAAATAGGTATTCATTTGATCTGCTATGATTTCTTCATTGGTTAGTACCCTATCGTCGAATTTCATTTTAGATAATGTACCTTTTGTAATAGGATAAACAATGTTTTTCACCGTTTTCCACATATGTTTGCTATTATTTTTACTCTGATAAATTTTGTAATTGTAATATTTTTTTCTTTTCATCTCGTAGAACTGCTACAGATTGGATTCTTGATCTTGTGTATTCTAGCCAATCATTTTCACTTCTAGTAATCATAAAGTTTTTATATTTGTAGCCTCTTTTTAATTTAGAATCCCTGATCGTCTGCGAGAACCAAGGCGTTGGATTTTTCCTTTTATAAATTGTTGTCTTGACTGTAGCTTCTTTTATGCAAACTTCAACATTATCCAATAGGCTTGTATAGTAGCTATCAACAACAACCAACGCTTCAGTCATATCTTGCAGTAAAAGAGCTTCTCGTAATTTCACATAGTTAATATTAGTAATCTCTTCCACTTTGTTAGCATTAAGTTTACTTTCAACTTCAATACATATCCATGAATGATCACTGATCTTAGGAGTATGATTTGTAATTCTGGTGTGATCATAGGCTTTTTGCCATAGTCAATAAAAACTGAATTCCTGTTTAAATTTCTTTGCGTAGAAGTTTATATTAAAATCACCCAATGCAGTTTCGATAAAAATGTTTTTCACAGATATTTTCGAAAAAATCTATAATCTGTTTATATTTCCAGTTGGAGGTCTGTTATATATAATTGTGCTTAAGATTCATTTTAACATTGATATACCACCAAAAAAGTTTGCCTAGTTTTTTATATGCAACTAAAAAATATGTCTTGCTGAAATATCTAAAATTATGAGCACCATAATAATGTTTTTGGCTTGGCTAAGTAATAAGAAACGACGAATGCAAATACTCCAAATTCTTGTATGGTTGCTCTCAAAATGTTTGTAAAGTTGTTAAACAAATGGCAGGAACGTTGGGAAAAGTGTAACTTTCCAAAAGCGGATTATGTTGAAAAATAAAAGGAATTTTTTTGGAAAAAATGGTGTCTTCATTTCTAACACGGGTACTTACTGAACCAGCCTCGTAAATTCTTGCCTCATGTTTAGAAAACGTCGTGTATTGATTGTCGCATCATGCACAGGTTTTAGCCTCAATCTTACCTAATCACACTCATACTATTCATATCATTTTTTCGTATCCAACTATTCTTAATTTGAATACATTTTTAACAAAAACTGTAAAAGACAATTATTGGGTTTTAATTTTGAGTAACCCTAACTTAGTCTTGATTACACATAATCAGTCCCTTGACGCCATCATATCTTTGCAGGGAGGTGTGGCCTGAAAACGACTGTTTTGGAAGTAGCAACATGGCTCCAGAGGAGGAGTTCTTGGCACTCAGAGAAATTTTCTTTGCTGAATTGGGAGGCGATTCTTGATTGACTCATATACGCCCAATCCATATGTATTTAAGCCCTTGTATTATATTTTATTACTGAGAAAAATGTTTAAATAAGATAATAAATAATTTTCATCCCTCTTAAAAATTGATTTTACTATGCTTGTGTGGAAAAACACCAAGGTTTTACCCCACAGAGCAAATGTTTTGAATAGTCCGTATCGCAATATTTAAAGATGCTGCAGAAGGCCTGCGATGCATTCAAAGCGCAAACAACATTATTGTTTTTCGGAAATTTCACATTTCACACCTTTGACGTAACATACCTATTACTGATTAACGCATTGATTCCCAAAGTGGTCTATATCGACCCCTAGGGGTCTATGACAACCTGCAAGGGGTCTACGTCAGCCAAAAAAAATTTGGGGGTCCATTAAATGAATATGGGGGTCCACGATAGTGGATCTCAACACATACACTAATGGTACCTATTTACTTACATCATACTATCTTATAATATCAAAACATATACATTATTTATAAAAGTACCTATGAAGTAAAAAATGTATTATATATGTTTATAAAATTGTGTAAGTTGTAGGATGTTGGTATTCGCTTTGTGGCCGCAATACATTTTGAAGTTGTAAAAACCTGAGAGTCGCAGTCTCAGAGCTTCGCTACCTTGCACTGACTTGTTCAATTCGTCACTCTATAAATACGAATGTGAGACAAATACGTTTATTCGTTTCCTGAATCTTGAAAAGGAAAGTGCTAAGAAAATATTTTAAAAAATATAAACAGATAGTATATCACACAAATTATAGTGAGTCAGTGTTATTTTGTTTGAGAGTGCTGGAGAAAAGTAAGTACATTATTTTTTATTAAATTTTAGTTTTGTACTCGTAGTTAGCAAAGATAGATAAATTACGCCAATCATGACTTAAGTTATTAGTAGTTAAATATTCAATGATGCAAAATTACACGAGTACTCCTTAATAGTTTCTTTTTGAAAGTTTTAGCAATCGGTAATATAATTACAGTGGAATCTCCGTAATTCGAGCTAATTGTTGCAAGAAGATGTTCGAATTATGGAATGTTTTCGGAAAAATCATAAAAATATTTTTAATATATACAGCAGCTGGATTTTCTGTCTTATTTAAATAATTTAATTTTGCCCACAGATGACTGATGCCATGTCCGAATCTAAAAACAAATGTAGACAGTACAGTGTTGATTATTTGAAATTTGGCTTCATTCCAGCATTGCCGGACAAACAATCGCCTATGTGCCTTTTATGCAACAGGTTTTGGGCAATGACGCTATGAAACCATCTAAACTGCAAGATCATCTGAGAAGATGCCACCCTGATAAAACAGAAAGATTTGAAATACTTTCAAACACTCAAAGATAAATTTCAGAAGAGACCTACACTGGACACAATGTTCGCTTCGACGTCACAAAGAAATGATGATGGTTTGCGGGCGTCTTACAGTATCTCGTTACTTATAGCAAAATCCGGAAAACCGCATACTATCGGAGAGAAGTTAATTTTGCCAGCCGTTGAAGAGGTTTTAAAAACTGTTTTACACAAACCTGCATCAGATATCATTAAAAGAATTCCCTTAAGCAACAATACTGTTGAAAGACGTATTGATGAAATGAGTTCTGATATTGAAAGCTTCTTAAGTAATTATTTGCAAATAACCCATTTCTCTATACAACTGGACGAGTCAGTCAACTTTACCTGATAATGCTGCATTATTATTGGCATATGTTCGTTTTATTATGAATCAAGAAGTCTACGAAGAACTGCTCTTCGCAAGAATTTTGATAACCGACACTAAAGGTGAATCAATATTCCATGTTTTGAAGAATTATTTCATTGAAAAATTAATTCCATTATCAAATATAATATCAGTAGCTACAGATGGAGCACCTGCCATGGTTGGACGTTATCGTGGATTTTTAAGCTATTTAAAACAAAATGTGTCGTGCGTCATCCATCGATAACATTTAGTTGCTAAAAATTTGAGTGTTAGATTGCATGAATCACTTCATTTAGTCATTGATGCAGTAAACAGAATCAGAAGCAACGCGTTGAATACGCGGTTATTTGCGCAGTTGTGTGAAGAAAATGACGAACACTTTCATCAATTGCTCCGTCACACTGAAGTACGCTGGCTGTCGAAAGGCTTATGTTTGACAAGATTTTTTGCACTTTTTGAGACTATTTTAGAATTTCTGAATACTAAAGATACAATTTTAAAAGAAAATTTAATGAAGAGGAAAACAGACATCGCCTATTTAACAGATTTGTTTACAAAATTTAATATGGTTAATTTGCAATTACAAGGCGACAGTTAAAATTTGATTAAAACAAAGTCCATCTTATCAGCGTTTCTTGCCAGAGTTAAACTAATGAAGCAAAATATTGGACTGGGCGAGTTTTCTCAGTTCCCCAATTTGTCATAGACAAGCTGCCAGGAAGACGACGTTTCAACTTACGTTCAACATTTAAATGCCCTCTATTCAGATTTTGAATCTAGGTTTGAGGATATTTTGACTATGGTAATACCACCGTGGATAATTAATCCATATGGTGACATAGAAGAAACGAATGTCATAATACAAGAGGAACTGACTAAACTAAGTACAAACGAAGCACTTAAGGTTCAGTTTAAAAACGGATATCAGCAATTCTGCCTGCAAAACAACATACCCGTTACTTATCCCGTATTGTGGAATATAGCGAGGAAATTTTTAATTTCCTTTCCATCGTCATACCTAGTGGAAAGGGGGTTCAGCGCTGTTACCAATCTCCTAACGAAAAAAAGAAACAGACTGGACATCATTAACCGAGGAGATTTAAGATTAACCCTTACAAAATTGACGCCAAATGTTGATAATTTATTATTAAAGCAACAGGTTCATCCTTCTCACTAAAAATATTGACTTATTGGTTATGTTATTTTATTTATAGTTTATCTTCTGTTTATTGGTGTCTGATCAATAAATGCCCGCATTGGGAATAAGTGCCCGCATTGATTTTTTTAAAGAAAATTTTATAGAAAATATTTTTTTTTAAATTATTCTGAAAATTCAATAATAGGTACACACTAAAATTCGTTAATTTTTTGCCTATTTTTAGATAACTTAAATGTATAAGAAGCGGAATTTAATCAAACTAACAGTGAAATTATTGTGGAACATACGTTTATGTTATAATTAATAAACGAACTAGCTTATTGTACTATTTTAAGTAAAAAACTTTTTTTTATTATTTTTCACTTTTTTTTAATTTATCCCTCTTATTTTTTTTTTCAATGCGGGCACTTATTCCCAATGCGGGCACTTATTGGTCAGACACCTGTTTATTTAATGTTACGTATATTTTACATAACAGATACGAAATTTATTTTGAGTAGTTTTAATTTAAATTCAATTAATAAATGTATAAATTAACATGTGTTTTTACTTTAAGTTCTTCACTACAGGTAGAAATTTACAGGAAAACAATATCAGGTAAGTAGGGGGTCTACCCAACACGGAAAAACATGGCAAGGGGTCTACGACACAAAAAAGTTTGGGGAACTCTGGATTAACGTATATTGCCTGAAGATAGCTCGCATCAAAAATTGTCCGTGATGCAATGAAATACCATAGCGTCATCTATGAGCATTTCTGATAACTATGTTTCTCCTCCTCCACCTAGTCTTAGGTAGTAACTAGAAATCCAATTTGAACAGCTTAACGTCCTATAGATGGCGTTGTAGGCAACTATACGAGCATATATGAGCATATACTACCACGCCATTTATGTATTCACTTTTAACATCCATTTGATATCTAGTGAATTTTAGTCAAGTATCCAGTGGTTCGACATAGAAACATCTAATGGCTGTTTCAGGTGTATCCAGAAAATATCAAAATTAAGGACTATTGAAAACCCAACGAAACAAATTAACCATGTATTCGTAATAAAATGTGTATGTTATATATAGGGTGCTTAACAACTTATCCGACAAATTTTGACCACATATGCATTGTTAGGAAAAAAGTAGATTTCTCAAAAGAAAATCTAATAAAAGTCTTACAGAAATCAAGATAATAAAATAATACAGTTTAGCAGTTCACTTATAAAACCTGTTCAAAATTGTTTCCATTGACTGCAATGCACGCTTGGGCACGTCTAATCCAATTTCGGCGCACTAATCCAAATACACCTCCTTCCTGCTATGCGTGAAGGCTCAAATTATCGACAGCCACTGTGATTCGGTCATGCAATTCTTCAATATTCTGAACTGGAGTACGGTATACCTCGTATCCCCATAAAAAGAAGTCCAGAGTATTTAGATCGGGAGACCGTGGAGGTCATACAATTGGTCCACTGAGACACTGGCACTCTTAACCCCCCCTACTCTCCTTTTTATTGAGCTGATGCCTAAATTTGCACACCACTCGACAGCGGTTTTGCATTGACTGGCCCTTAGATTTCATTTATAGTAATTTATTAATTCATTAATTAATTTAAAAAGAGGAAAGAGGAATCACACCGCGGTTTCCTCTTGATTATAAAAAAAAAGCCGTGGTCTATGGATATTTCCATACATATAAAGGAGTGCATCCAATTTCGAGTAATTATACCATCCTTCAAGTTGTTAAATTCATATTTTCCTGCCCTAGTTTCATATTAATTCATATTTGAGAAGGTGAGAAACTGGATGAAAAGTTGGGTTGCAACACGAAGTTCGTTTGCGCTGCGAGAAAACGTCTAATTAAGAAACAGAATCAAGAAAGTGGCTCTTTACTAGAGTACAGCTTATCTGAGAGCCTATTAATACTGTAGACCAAGAAGGATTCATATAATGAGGCTCTAGATGTGCCGAAATATCAGTGAAGCATTTTTATTCGCAATTATGGCTGTTATTATTGAGTCCTGAAGTAGGACTCGGCTGCACTTGCATCCAGAGAAATATCTTTCCCAGAATACCTCCATCTTATGTTTTTGATAATCTGATTAAATTATAAAAAAAAATATATGAAAACGGGGGTCTTGGGTACATTATTTTGAAGCTCCTGACGAGTACTTTCCCAACTAACAATTAATAATAATATGCCTTTATTTTACCTGGCGGGTGTATCAGCTAA